CGTGCTACCCGTAGCCACGATAAGTTACGCTCGACTTCCGCTTCCGCTCGCTGCGGCCGCGCGCGTACAGCACCTGCTCGAATTGCATGAATTACGTCGTACCCAATAGATACGCATCATTCTGAAATCGCGAAAAAATATATTCAGGCTTTGATTTATTTTTGACCGTTCTTTCATTCGTGATCAATCGTGATTAACGAACGTTAGAGATAACAAGTTTCTGATTTGCGATCGATAATCGTTCTGACTAGTATTCTATTTAAGCTGTTTAGTACAATTATAAAAAAAAATGAGGAAGGTGCCCCCAGATTCTTGTCAAATAGGTAAGCCAATACGGCTTTGCCAACTTTTGCACCGGCAAGACATAATAGCAAGTGGTTCAAGTGGACTGCAGAAGTGGAATTGGTGTCGTCTTTTGTTCTCGCCGAATCAGCACCAACCTCTTTTTCTTGGCATTCTTAGAAATCAATACGTGTCTTCGTAAGTTGCTAATACACGTCAGGCCTATCGCTAGTCTATATTATTGTATATGTGCCGTCCGTTCGTACAGATTCCGTTCAATTTACCTTAACGATTACGGAAAGTACGATAATCATAATTATCAGTTCTCGCAAATATTAGATTTTAATGATCTCATATTTCGTCGTACGGCTAGAGACTTATAGCAGAGAAGGGTTGATCAATGTTTAACAGGCAAAACGAATACAGCAGCGTGTCAATACCTTTTGTAGCCACTGTAATTCGACGATCTCGTGTCGTCCTTCTTCTGTAGTGGAAAATTGATACGCTTTCTCTGTTCGTGTGGGACTAAGCATGTATAGTCTATGCCAATCCGTTGGTGTATTTCATACTTAACAATAGAGGCACGCAAACTTTGGTACGTGTCTAATTTGTATAACGTGTCAAGGAGCAAATTGTACTGGTGCTGGTTGGAGGTACAAATCTACTGAGGCGTTCAAAGGACAGGAAAAGGGGTTTTCAAATGCAGGTCCCGTAAAAAAATAAAACATTCAACTGATTTATTTTTTGAAAAACGTTGTCTTTATATATATTGTCATATTATACAGTAGAATTTTGAAAAGTTTTACTCTCGATTATTCACTGTCATACTCGCGGTCCCTCGTGATGGCGGATCGAACCGGAAACGTGGATAAAAATAGCAATTATCGTTCTCATTTCGTGAAAATTTTATCACGTACCGATTCGGGTTAATTAAATTAATGCGATGATAATAAACGGCATTAGATCTAATTTTTATAGGATATCCAAAATTTAAGTTGTATGAACTTGTCTACGTAGATAACATTAACAGTTTAATTCTAGTATTAAAAAGTGATAACAATTAATAATTTTATCAGTAATAAGAAATATATATATATACAAAATATCAGGTTGACAGAAAAGGAAAATTGACGAATCGGTACGAGACGAGAGTTCACCAAATATCGCCCGACACCATCGAATAGATAACATTTTGTAGTGGCATGTTAAAATATCGCGCGCGCAAGTTCGCGAATAATAGAATACTAGAAATTGCTCAATCGTTTCGTCATCGCTGAGAATTACTCATTAAATCACAAAAAGAAACTTATAATGAAAGTTGCGTCGTGACCGGCACCGGAACATGCTTCCACCGATCGATCGTTGCAACCCATAACATAACATTTGAATCATGCATCAGTAAAGGTGAACAAACCCTACTTGTTTCGACTTGAGACATCCGCGCCACATAACCTACCCTCTGTCGACTACTACTTCAATTTCACCCTCGCGAGTCCAAAACAAAAGGAATTTCTATCAGAAACTAATTTGAAACAATACTTTTTTTCTAAAATGTTATTTACGATCTCTATCGTGATGTATATAGGAAACTCTATACTGGAAATAATGGAAAATTGACGAATCGGTACGAGACGAGAGTTCACCAAATATCGCCCGACACCATCGAATAGATAACATTTTGTAGTGGCATGTTAAAATATCGCGCGCGCAAGTTCGCGAATAATAGAATACTAGAAATTGCTCAATCGTTTCGTCATCGCTGAGAATTACTCATTAAATCACAAAAAGAAACTTATAATGAAAGTTGCGTCGTGACCGGCACCGGAACATGCTTCCACCGATCGATCGTTGCAACCCATAACATAACATTTGAATCATGCATCAGTAAAGGTGAACAAACCCTACTTGTTTCGACTTGAGACATCCGCGCCACATAACCTACCCTCTGTCGACTACTACTTCAATTTCACCCTCGCGAGTCCAAAACAAAAGGAATTTCTATCAGAAACTAATTTGAAACAATACTTTTTTTCTAAAATGTTATTTACGATCTCTATCGTGATGTATATAGGAAACTCTATACTGGAAATAATGTAATAATGAGGACGGTCGACTCGACATCTAGCAACATGGCCGTCGCGTTTGTCAAGGAATTAACATTTCGTTTATCGCTCACTCACCAGATATTGCTTGCAATGTCTTTTATGCTTAACAGCGCAGCGTTTCTTCTTTTTGGAGGCACCCGCGTTGCAACCGTTCCCCGGCTTGTCTTTATGAGGCGTCGACAGGTTCCCCTTGTTCGCGGGCATCGCCGTTTAAAGAAATACCCGTCGCGGTTCCACACGGAAAATTGGGTCGTTCTCTACCTGTCGACGTATGTACGTCGCGTTGAACAGATGCGCCGTTCGGTCCACCGACGAAAGTGATTGATAACGCTCGAAACGTCTCTCTTCCTCTCCGTATATACGATACACACGTGAGCGATAGTGCATGTGTATGTACTTAGTTATAGCTACTGGGTATGCGCAAGGACACTGGACTACCCTGAGCTGATTACCCGAGGTCCGAGGCCACGCCTCCGTTAAGGCTTTGCCGACTTTATGGCCTTTTCGCACTGCGTTTTCCGCTCCCGTATTCCGCCCGGAACAGCTATCAGAATCTTGTTGCCAGCAGTCAAGAGTCAAGAGTACAGGTCAGACACCCGCTGGGGTCGAGAGCGAAAGAGTGGTTGCTTATAGACGAAATTATTCATCGTCACTATGTACATATATTTTTATATTTTATATTTTCTGCGCACAGGAGAAGGTCATCTGCCGAGACCGTCACTTTTTCTGCGCGAAAAACTTTGTTTCTCCCACCATAAAAAAATCTGAGTTTCCCCGCTCTCCACCCAAGCATGGGTTTGACCAGTACTCTTGACTCTCACTTATGCACAAAACACCGGGCCCGCGTCATCCAGCTTTTACACGCTATTGCCAATACCTCGCATTTTTAACTACGGAATTGGTTGTCCGTCTTTTCGCTACTAGAAATCAGAATTCCGCTTACCATCCCTGAGCGAAATATGGGAGCGGAAAACGCAGTGTAAAAGGGCCATTACGGCGATATACGTAACTACCGCCCGATACGAATCTTTTCAATTCAATCTACAGTGACAGTTAGAAATTTTGAATGTTTCATCATCTCACCAGACGATTGTTCAACGTATTTTAATAGATTTATTGCAGTGGCCACTCGTGTTTTGTTCGGAAAACGCGCGATGCGCACGCGAGTTGAAAATATCAAAGAAAACTGAAAAAACAACGATTCAGGTTGCTTGTTTGTTGGATACCAAAGAGATGCTCGGCCCTGGACTTTGGTAGCGCCACAAAGTGGTAAATTATTTAACTACGAGATACGCTACGATTTCGCAGGATTTCGTATAACGTATGTAATAAAAATGATGATTGGTGAAGCAGGCAATGCTAAACATCCTGCTTCGTAAAAATAAAGACACACGCTACAGTAAAACTGCAATTGAAACGAAGAGCGAAAGTTGGCTTTTATTCGACTTCCGGTTTCGTTACCGAATCTCAACGACCGGATACTTTAACGGTTAATACTTGTTTGAAAAAGTTCCCACTATTTACGCCGTCTTGTAATTTGAAAACTGGCATTACTCCCAGATGCTTTTAATT